CAACCTGCACCTGGACAAGAGAAGACACTGGACGCACTTCAAGTCCAGTCGCAGTTCGCGCACGTCTTAAAACTGCAAACGACAAGACCTTTCGACGGAAAGGACTTTTTTTACCTGGTCATTCGAGTTCGAGCTAATGATGGAAGGCGCGCAGATCCTTGGCTTCTTCGACGGGTCCCTGCCATATCCAACACACGGTACAAAGTACGACAAGCAGCAGTACACGTATCAGTCAATGATGGCGTACACAATACTACTGAGAAGCATCACTCCGAATCAGCAGCAGAATATACGGTCTTACCGGGGATACGGCAACTCTGCAGAGCTCGCGTACAACCACCTGAAGAACCTGTATCAAGCAACAGACAGCGTAAATCAAAGTCGGTTAATGGCGCAACTAACGACAGTCGAAATGAAACCAGGCGAAAAGGGGATGGCGTATATCAGCCGTTGTCGCGAATTGCGCGACAAACTCCTTCGATGCGGAGGGTCGATTTTAGAAGACGCCTTCGTCACAGTCATCATCGGCGGCCTCGGTCCTCAGTGGCGCTCCACCCGCGCCATACTCCGAGCCCACGGAAAAATATCAGAAGCAGCACTCTGTGCCGAGATCCACGCTGAGCGGCAAGATATGGACCTGCAAGAAGAACGACACAAGAAGAAGGCATCAGTGCCCGAATTTGCATTCCACACTCAACGACGCTACAACAACAACAATCGGCATCAACCGAAAACGGTACCTCCGTTCTGTCACCTTTGCAAGACATCAGGTCACCCCCGTACACAGTGCCCAAACCGGCCGCTTCGCCCTTCAAGCAGTCAAGTCGCCTCAACGCAAGCGAACCCGACTTCTCAAGCACAAGCCTCGACGACATCGACGGGACAACCTGCGCAAGGAACAAGAAACATCGTCAGTTGCATGACACGACTGACCGACTCCTGCATCACAGAGTCACCACCACATTACTCACCGGAAGACCAACTCGACAACAGCACGCCTCGCCGCGAGTCACTTCAACCAAATCCAACGTATGCAGCCATCGCTCAAAGCGAGCCGTCCGGAAAAGATACGTGGTTCTTGGACAGCTGCTGCGGACAGCATATGTGCTCTTCAGGACGCTTTGTTCAACGTGAACACCAACTTCAACGCGAGGTCGTCATCACCGTCGCCAACAATCAGAATCTGCGCACACGACGACAAGGCGTAGTGTAACTTCAGTCACGAGAGACAAACGTTATACTGCAAATGTCAAAGGTTTTAATAGCAGAGGGGCTTGGTTACAACCTACTAAGCGTCAGTCAACTGATGGCGAACGGCATACACCTCGAAGCAAATAGCACCACTCAGGAGTTCAAGCAAATAGACCGGGACCCCACTGGTGGTTTCCGTGGTGATCGAGCCTTCGCCTCGGCAGCAGACGAAGCTGACTGGGACGAGCAGAATGTGGATAACGCCTCGGAAGAAGCAGGATCACTCCCATACTGCTCCGTGCCTATCCCGATGGACGACGAAAATCCTCGCGAAAGCATCAACGCCGAAACTTATTTCGACTTCGCCGACACCGGTTACGTTACACCTGCAGAAGTCAACACCAACGAAGCAGAACGCATAGGGCCCAACTTCATACCTGACCCAGAAACAGGCGACGAAGCAGCTTATCCCGAGGACACAACTCTTCCCCGCTACACACAGAGTGGCCTCCAGATACTCGGTCTAGTCACCGCGGTCCACGACACTGAAACTCCTAAGGAGCCTGCCACAGTTCAGCAGGCTCTAGGGGGGGAGCATAAAGAAAAATGGCGTGAAGCCATGGACAAAGAACTGAAAGCACTGAAGGAGCGCAACACCTGGAAATTTGTTCCCATCGGCGTGGCACGAAACAAAACAATACTCACCGGGAAGTGGGTCTTCCGTGTGAAGACGAAAGCAGACGGCACTATTGACAAGTTCAAGGCACGTTGGGTCGTACGCGGCTTCGACCAAGAGCATGGACGTGACTTCACCGAGACATTCGCTCCGGTCAGCCGACACGCTTCGCTACGAATTCTTCTCGCGATCGCTGCCATGAAGAAAAAGAAACTGCGGCAAATCGACGTCGCCAATGCATTTCTTTACGCACCTGTTGACGCCGAAATCTACGTCGAACTCCCACACGGATCCCACAGAGAACCCAACCAAGTCTGCCAGCTGCAAAAATCCTTGTACGGGATCAAACAATCCCCAAGACTGTGGCAGCAATATCTACATGCTCGACTTACTCGCATCGGATTCCGGCAACTACCGCACGACCAAGGCATGCACCGGCTCACGAAAGGTGACGACTATATCCTATTAATCGTCTACGTAGACGATCTGCTCTACATCGGGTCGACCGACAACGTCACTACCTGGTTCGAAGGGGAGCTACAGAAAGATCTCACGCTCACAGTATCATCTACCGTCACGCAATATCTCGGCCTAAACATTCAGGAAGAAGAAAACGCGATCTACCTCAACGCTGCAAAGTACGCCGACACCATCGCCAAATGCTTCTCACTTACGCCGACCACCATCTCTACGCCATACCGCTACACGGCAGGAAACAACAAGGAAGGATCCGCTCCACTAAAATCCGCCGACATACGCAACTACCAAAGGAAGCTGGGATGCCTTCTCTTTGCGGCTGTCACTTGTCGCCCAGACCTATCGTACTCCGCAAGCCAGCTCGCAACCTACCTCAAGAGACCTGAAGGAGAACACATGGCCGAACTCGACCGTGCTCTTCACTATCTCATCAGCACCGCAACCATCGGTCTTACCTACCACAAGAACGGAACTACGGTACCTAAACTAGTCGGCTACGTCGACGCACACCACGCCGGCGATCCCGACAACAGACGCTCACGCACCGGCTACATCTATCGCCTCGAACCTATCGGACCTATTTCCTGGCAATCGAGCAAGCAGGAACTAATCGCTCTCTCCTCGGCTGAAGCTGAATATATCGCACTCTGCTCAGCCACCAAGGAAGGACTGTACCTTCGCGAACTTCTGGAGGAGGCAAAGCTGGCTCAATTACCCAGCTTCTCCTTGTTTAGCGACAACCAGTCGGCAATTCGCATCGCCAACAAAAACGGATTCGCGAACAGGACGAAACATATCGCCCTGCGATATTTCTTCGTAAAGGACGAAATCGAGAAGGGGAGACTTGAGCTGTCCTACTGTCCTACATCCGAGACGGCAGCCGACTACTTGACCAAGAAACTCGGAAAACAGAAGTTCGAGTACTGCATGCTGCTGACTCGACAAGAACACGTCATCAGCAACGATCCTCCAGAAGCGAAGGGGAGTGTTGGAAACAAGTGATTTATAGCGCCTCTGTCGTATCGAAGCTGCGACACAAAACGGAACTGACTACAGCGAAGAAGCACGCGAGTCAACTGTCAGAGGTTACGTGAAGGTCAAAGGTCTCCGACCTTTGACCTGACGAAATGCACAGTGCGACAGCAAGGACACATAACTGACTCGTTACAGAGCAGTTACCCGAGTCGGCACTTTATCGAACCGCAACAGCAACAGTAAAACGGTTACTAACCGTATCTTTTTATATTCCTTGTACCGTAATCACCCGGACATAACACCCTAGGGTCTTACTTTAAATACAGCAAAAAAATGGGGGGGGTCTTCTCATAGGAAAAAGCTACATACCACCCGGGTGCATATATATGACATTTTTTTAGTGTAAGGGTTTCTATAAATAGGCAGCTTGGGTGTTTTCAAGGTTGGTTTAGCATCACAGTTGGAAGCGAGATTGTCAGTTTCGACGACAACATTGACTCCTCCTTGAAGTTGCGAGGTGGCACCTCTTTGGCCACTTGATAGCGAAAGAAACACCTAAATTAAGGCATTCTGTGTAAAAAAAAGGGGGTGTTATAAAAAATCACCCCAAAAGGGGGGGTATAGTACAAACGGGGTCAACTATAACACCCACCCCGCACAAGCCACCCGGGGGGTCTACAATTTCGGCGGGTGGTATGTCGGGGTGATTACGGTATCCTTATAAAAGCTTGTACCTCTTTGTTTTAATCAATCGACTTTGCTCTCACATACCAGTGCAAGGTGGTTCACAAGTCTTTACTTAACGCTTCCGCTATTACACCAGTCCTACTCAGAATTTAGTCCTGCAAAAGATCCTAAAGGGCTTTTCTCAGCCCAACAATTACAACTACTCAGGGCCTCAGATTTCAGCGAAAAAAATGCTAATTTGGGTTAAAAAGGCTGAGATTTCAGACCTTTTTTTTTAACTAGGGCTGATTTTTCAGCAGTGTTTTGGAAAGTGACATGAAAAAATATGAATTTTATAGTATAAAATGACATAAAATTGTTAATTTATCTGATTTTCAGCATAATTTTCTATACCAACTCTGGTACTTTCGGACTAGCCCAAAATCAATCTGAGGCCCTGCAACTACTGCTTGGATTATGAAGCCTAGCAAAAATGTAGCGAAAGGCGGGGTTCTCGGGATTGGGAGGCGATGCGAAAGACATTCGGGAGGCGAGGTCGTCGAACCGAGCCTGGTCTTCCGAAAGTTGAGGTTGGACGTGTACGAATTGGCCGAGTAAGGAATTAGGACGATTCCTTACACAATAATGTCTTCAACCCGGGCGACGATGTTACGGTGTGTTCAGAAGATACATTCGAATGCAGCTCAATGGTTCTCGGTACCATGGTTCAGATAGATTTCTTTATAGATAAAATGGTTGAATAGGGTATTGAGAAATGTACGTTTGGGACATGCCTTTAGAACGCAATTTAGTAAAAGTTGATCCATGCTAGGAAGGGTCGTGAGGCTTCTTTCAATCGAGGCTAGGCGCTGAATGTTAGGGCAAGTGCCCGCTTCATCATTGCAGCAACCCATTGCTTGGAGAGTGAGCGGACAAGCGGACGACCATTTCGAGCGACAGCGCGCTGCTGATCGCCGTGCACAGAGCTCCACCGATTCGTCCGCCTGTCAAGGCGATGGCGTTCCGAGGCGTCGTTGTGCATCCGCAGCGGCCGCCGCATGACAGGCTGATCGCCTCCAGCGCGCGCCGCACGACGCATGGCGGCGTGGCGGAAATGGGTAGCGCTGGCGCACGACGGCGATCGGGATTCAGACCGTTGCTATTGAGATCCGCCTTTCTCTCGCGACGCGGTGGGTTTGGGAAAGGGTGCGATGACGAGGCGACTCGACTTGACGGCGCCGCAGGCGGCTCCGTGCGGCCAGGCATTGCAGGCGGCGCGACCCGTCGGATCTCAGCCGCCGCCGAACCTTCAGGTACTTGCTTTCCACTCTCTCCCCCCTCCTCCCACATACCTCCGCCCGCCTGGTCCCCTCCGTGTGCGCGCTTTGCTGCCGCACTGCACGCGCCGGTGAATTCTCATCGTCCGCACGTCTTTGCGCCCCTCCTTGCCGCCGCCCCCGCAGAGAACCGCGCGGCGCCATCCAAGCCGAGGTCCGCCCGAACCTCAGCGCCAGGCGCGCGAAGAGACCGACCCTCGGGGGGGGGCGGGGGAGGCGGAGGCGCACGGCGGGGCGGGGCGGCGGCGGTGCGCGGGCGGCGCGACGACAGCGTGCAGCGCAAGCTGGAGCGATTCCACGACGGGCCGGAGGGGCCGCCGCTGCGCGTGCTGCCGATCGGAGGGGTGGGGGAGATCGGCATGAACTGCATGCTGGTGGGCCACCGCGACCGCTACATCATGATCGACGCCGGACTCATGTTCCCCGAGTGAGTCCCTCATGTTCCCCGAGTGAGTCCCTCATGTTCCCCGAGTGAGTCCCTCATGTTCCCCGAGTGAGTCCCTCATGTTCCCCAAGTGAGTCCCGCACGCCCTGCCACATGCGCCCCTGCCATGGGTGCAGGGTTTATTTCAGGTTCTGCGATTGATTTCGCAACTCTTGCACACGGCTGTTTTGGAAATAACAGAGAGGCGGCTGTGAGGGGCAATGTGGGAAACCCATGGTGGCCCACAGTTGAGTGCGGTGGATGAAGGGGGCTCTGGATTCCCCTTTTCATGTACCTGTTGGGGCGCCATGCCCCATTTCATCCCATCCACTGCGCCATGCCCGCTTCCCACAGCGCTGCCTCACCCATGCACCCACTGACCACATCACGCCCACCCATGCATTCATTCTCCTTCCCCATCCCCGGGGCAGCTACGAGGAGGTGGGCATGCAGCGGGTGCTACCGGACACGGCGTTCATCCACCGGTGGCGCCACAAGATAGAGGCGCTCATCATCACGCACGGCCACGAGGACCACATCGGCGCGCTGCCCTGGGTGAGATGAGTGTGCACACTGCCAGCCACGTGGTGTGAGGGGGCATTGGTGCTCGGCCTGCCCTGGGTGAGAGTAGTTCGGGATAGGGGCTGCACTGCAGATAGGGGCTGCACTGCAGATAGGGGCTGCACTGCAGATAGGGGCTGCACTGCAGATAGGGGCTGCACTGCAGATAGGGGCTGCACTGCAGATGTCATTGCGGGGCCGCGGGGGCTCCATACCTGCTGCCCCTCTCTCTCCTGCCGCTCCTCTTTCCACTCACCCCCCCGCTCCTCTTTCCACTCACCCTCCCACTCCTCTTTCCACTCACCCCCCCGCTCCTCTTTCCACTCACCCCCCTGCTCCTCTGCTCTCACTGCCTACTCTCCCTCCCTATCTGCCATTCATGCCCACCAGGTGCTGCCAGCGCTGGACCCATCAACGCCTGTCTTCGCCACCGGCTTCACCATGCAGGCAATGCCCTCCCGCCCTTCCCTCCTGCCCCACCCTCCCGCCCTTCCCTCCCGCCCCACCCTCCCACCCTTCCCTCCCGCCCCACCCTCCCGCCCTTCCCTCTCGCCCCACCCTCCTGCCCTTCCCTCCCGCCCTGCCCTCCCTCCATCCGTCCCTTCCTCCCTCCCTCTCTCCCTCAATCCCTCCCTCCCTCCCTCCCTCTCTCCCTTCCTTACTCCCTCTCCCCTTCTCTTCCGCCTTCCTACGTTTTGTCGCTCCCACTCCCCCTGCTACTCTCTTCTGCGGCCCTTTCCCACCAACCTTCATACCCTTTCTTTCACCCTCACTCTGTCTTCTCCTCCCTCGTGCTGTTTCAACTCTGAACCGTGAACCCAAAACCCTTTCTCTCCCATCCCTTCCTCCCTCCATTCAATTCAGTTTGCTCCAATCTCGCTCCCAGTCTCGTCCTTTTCTCCCATTCCCTCCCCCCAGCCCCTCATCCGTCCGCCTCCTAATTAATTGACCAAAACATGTTTGCATGATGTAACACTGTAAACACGTTTTAGGGTAGCTAAAAGCTCGCTAGGGTTGAAATCCAAAAAGCTCAACTGAAAAGCGTGTACAGTCAATCTTCTCTCTAGCATGGACTCTTTCCCCAACTCGCCCCTCTGTCCTCCCCCATCCACCCCCCCCCCCCCCTCCCCTACCCCCTCCCCACTCCCCACTCCCCCATCCCCAATCACCCCTCCCCCTTCCCCGCTTCTCCCGCCTCCGTCCCCCGTCCCCTACCCCCTGCACCCCATGTTCACTGCTGCAGCTGGTGAAGCGGCGCCTAAAGGAGCACAACCTGCCGTTTGAGAAGCGGTGCAAAGCGGTGCAGATGCGCACGCGGTTCAGGGCGGGCCCGTTTGAGGTGGAGGCGGTGAGGGTGACGCACTCCATCCCCGACTGCTGTGGCCTCGTGCTGCGCTGCGACGACGGCACCATCTTCCACACCGGCGACTGGAAGGTGCCCTGCCGCCCCCACCCTGCCTTGCCCACACTGCCGTGCCCACACCGCCATGCCCGCCACTGCCATGGCGCCGGGGGAAATATGTGGTGCTGCTGATTGGCCGACATGGATTGAAACATTTCTTGTGGATCAATGCCCCCCCAGTGAGCTACATCCTTATATTCGTTAATCCTGATTCAGAACCTCGTTGCTACATCCTCCTCTCGTTTCTTCCATGTGCCATGCCGCTTGTCTGTGTGCCGCACTATGCACATCACCATCACCATCACCATAACCATCACCATCACCATCACCATCACCATCACCATCACCATCACCATCATCATCACCATCCCCATCACCATCACCATCCCCATCACCATCACCATCCCCATCACCATCACCATCACCATCACCATCACCATCACCATCACCATCACCATCACCATCACCATCACCATCACCATCACCATCATCATCACCATCACCATCACCATCATCACCACCATCACCATCACCATCACCACCACCATCAGATCGATGAGAATCCGCTGGACGGCCGCCAGTTTGACCGCGAGTTCCTCGAGGGCTTGTCCAAAGAGGGGGTCACGCTGGTGAGAGGTGAAGGGGAGGGAGGTCACTTTGGTATGGGAGAAGGAAACTCCAGTTGCTCAGTTGTGCGGGCAATACCAACCATATCTCGTCGCACATTCCTTGCCATTGCATGCCCGTCCACTTCCACTGTTGCTCACTCACCGCACATGCCTCCACGTTCCCTCCCACTACCTTCCTGCACCACCCCCCCCCCCCCCCCCCACCCCCCTCCTCTCTCCTCCCCCCCCAACCCCCCCTGCGAGTGAGGCAGATGATGAGTGACAGCACCAACAGTCTGGCGCCGGGGCGCACGACATCGGAGAGCAACGTGGCGGGGGCGCTGATGGAGGCGGTGCTGGCGGCCAAGGGGCGCGTCATCACCACGCAGTTCGCCTCCAACGTGCACCGCCTCGGCGCCGTCAAGGCCGCCGCTGATGCTGCCGGCCGCCGCCTCGTGAGCTCTGCTCGCCGCTGCTCCCTGCTGCTCTGCTCTGCTCGCCTCGTCTCTGCTCTGCCCTGCTCTGCTCTGCTCGCCTCGTCTCTGCTCTGTTCGCCTCGTCTCTGCTCTGCTCACCTCTTTCTCTCCCTCGGCTGTGTGCATGGGCAGCAGGGGTCGAGGGGCATCTGGGATGGTGGCTGTGCATGGGGGAAGGGACGGGGAGTCTAAGTAGGAACGGGGAGTCTAAGTAGGAACGGGGAGTCTAAGTAGGAACGGTGAGTCTAAGTAGGAACGGGGAGTCTAAGTAGGAACGGGGAGTCTAAGTAGGAACGGGGAGTCTAAGTAGGAACGGGGAGTCTAAGTAGGAACGGGGAGTCTAAGTAGGAACGGGGAGTCTAAGTAGGAACGGGGAGTCTAAGTAGGAACGGGGAGTCTAAGTAGGAACGGGGAGTCTAAGTAGGAACGGGGAGTCTAAGTAGGGACGGGGAGTCTTAGTCGGGATGGGGGAGATGGGGATGTGTCTTGAACGCGTCTCTTGCACCTCCTGCTGTAACTCCGTGCCGCCCTTTTCCCACCGTCATCGCCCCCTCAGGTGTTTCTGGGCATGTCGCTGCGCACATACCTTGATGCTGCCTTCCGTGACGGCCAGGCGCCCTTCGATCCCTCCGTGCTCGTATGCTCAACTCATGCACCCCATTCCTTTCCCCGTGCCTTCATTCATCCATCGCCGCCTTCTCTGTACCTCACGCTGACCCCCAAATCTGTACGCATGCATACCTGCTTCCACCGCATGCATACCTGCTTCCACCGCATGCATACCTGCTTCCACCGCATGCATACCTGCTTCCACCGCATGCATACCTGCTTCCACCGCATGCATACCTGCTTCCACCTCATGTATTCACTTCCCGTGTCCTCTTGTGTATGTGGTGTGGTGGGTGTGCATGCGCGCGCGGCACATGCATGTGGGTGTCCATGTGCACAGCTCAAGGCGGAGGACATGAGTGCCTTCTCCCCACGCGACCTGCTCATCGTCACCACGGGCTCCCAGGTACATGCAAGTGACATGCCATGCCATGCCATGCCAGTTTCTGTTCTCGAGAGCAGTGACACTTCAAGCTGAGGATGCTCACCATGAGAGCACGAGTGCGGTGCTCCTACCGTTCTCTTGTTCTCAACCACGCTCTTCGACTTCCACTCGTGAACTCTTCACACCCCTCTGTGGCACCTGCGTGTGTGTGTGTGATGCTGGCAGGGAGAGCCACGCGCGGCGTTGAACCTGGCATCGTACGGAACAAGCAAGATGCTGCAGCTCAACGCCGACGACACCGTGCTCTACTCCGCTAAGGTCATTCTTTCTCGCCTCTCACTTCTGGGCTTGGAACTAGGCATGTGCAAGAATTTGTATTGTGGTTCCGTGCGGGTCTTTTTTCACATCGAACCGAATCTGGGCCCTTTTTAGTCCACCTGTTCAAAACCATCGCTTCCCATTGCCACGTCAAACCAAACTGGTTCGGTGGCGATGTCTAATTGGAACTCGTTTGCATCACTGAATGTACACCCAAAAGATCAAGCACCCAACCTGGACCAACAGATCAAGCACCCAACCTGGACCAAAAGATCAAGCACCCAACCTGGACCAAAAGATCAAGCACCCAACCTGGACCAACCACATTACGTGATTGAAAAGTACATTTGACAAACCCCCATTGAATAATCTATCCAAATTACCTCCTCCTCCTCCTCCTCCTCCTCCTCCTCCTCCTCCTCCTCCTCCTCCTCCTCCTCCTCCTCCTCCTCCTCCTCCTCCTTCTACCCCCCTTCCCTGCTCTCCTCCACCCCACCAACCTCCCCACTGCAGATGATCCCGGGCAATGAGACGCGGGTGGTGAAGATGATGAACCGCATCGCACTGCAGGGGTCGCGCATCTTGCAGGGGCGGCAGCACGGGCTGCACACGTCGGGGCATGCGTACAGCGAGGAGCAGCAGGAGGTGATTCGGCTGGTGAAGCCGCAGCACTTCCTGCCGGTGCACGGCGAGTACGCCTTCATGAAGGAGCACGAGCTGCTCGCCCAGCGCCAGGGCATCCGCCACACCACGGTACTGCCCGCCTGGCTGCGTGCGTGCAGGGATGTGCAGGGATGTGCAGGGTAATGCAGTGGATGTGAGAGATGCACCATGGTGGCATGCGGGAGAGCTGGCTTTTGCTCCATAGGCCAGCGCAAGGTGGCCCAGGACACTGTAGGCTATGGGTTATGCACAGTACTGATCCGTTGTCACCACCTGATCCTGGCTCCAGCATCCTCTCGTGCTGTTGCCTCTTTGTCCTTTCCCCTCCTCGCCCCTGCCTGCCGTCTCCCCTCTGCCCTGCCCCCACCAGGTGATCAGCAACGGGGAGATGGTGGGAGTGGCGCCGCTGCGCAACGCCAAGGTGGTGTCCAACGGCTTCTACCACCAACCGCGCATCCACCTCGAGGTGAGGCTTCTACCACCAACTGCGCATCCACCTCGAGGTGAGGCTTCTACCACCAACCGCGCATCCACCTCGAGGTGAGGCTTCTACCACCAACCGCGCATCCACCTCGAGGTGAGGCTTCTACCACCAACCGCGCATCCACCTCGAGGTGAGGCTTCTACCACCAACCGCGCATCCACCTCGAGGTGATATGCCCTGCACGTGAGGGTGATGAAGCGTTGCATGGCACTTTTGGTGATGGTGCACCCACTGCCTTGACACTCTAGTCCCTCATGCACTCTCATGGACACCTCCCTGGCGCAGCTGCCAGCAGTTACTGCCACGCAATGCACTCTACCACTTGCCCCGTGCACTCCACGTGCAATCGCCCAATGCCAGGCCTTGTGCTCGACTCTCCCCCCCACCAGACGATGTACAACGACGGGGGCATAGCATTTGGCAACGCGCGCGAGATGGCGGTGGGGGAGCGGCTGCACGTGGCCACCGAGGGCATCGTCATCGCCACGTGAGCATGCTTAGTCAGCAGGGACTGCTCCATGTGAAAGACATTCATTGCATTCTGTTGGTCCACAAGCTTCCACACCCCTCATGAGGTCAGCAGCACCCCACCCTCCTGCCTTTCCTCGTCTCGCCTCCTGTCCAAATCCATGTCTCGCCTCCTGTCCAAATCCATGTCTCGCCTCCTGTCCAAATCCATGTCTCGCCTCCTGTCCAAATCCATGTCTCGCCTCCTGTCCAAATCCATGTCTCGCCTCCTGTCCAAATCCATGTCTCGCCTCCTGTCCAAATCCATGTCTCGCCTCCTGTCCAAATCCATGTCTCGCCTCCTGTCCAAATCCATGTCTCGCCTCCTGTCCAAATCCATGTCTCGCCTCCTGTCCAAATCCATGTCTCGCCTCCTGTCCAAATCCATGTCTCGCCTCCTGTCCAAATCCATGTCTCGCCTCCTGTCCAAATCCATGTCTCGCCTCCTGTCCAAATCCATGTCTCGCCTCCTGCCCAAATCCATGTCTCGCCTCCTGTCCAAATCCATGTCTCGCCTCCTGTCCAAATCCATGTCTCGCCTCCTGTCCAAATCCATGTCTCGCCTCCTGTCCAAATCCATGTCTCGCCTCCTGTCCAAATCCATGTCTCGCCTCCTGCCCAAATCCATGTCTCGCCTCCTGTCCAAATCCATGTCTCGCCTCCTGTCCAAATCCATGTCTCGCCTCCTGTCCAAATCCATGTCTCGCCTCCTGTCCAAATCCATGTCTCGCCTCCTGCCCAAATCCATGTCTCGCCTCCTGTCCAAATCCATGTCTCGCCTCCTGTCCAAATCCATGTCTCGCCTCCTGTCCAAATCCATGTCTCGCCTCCTGTCCAAATCCATGTCTCGCCTCCTGTCCAAATCCATGTCTCGCCTCCTGCCCAAATCCATGTCTCGCCTCCTGTCCAAATCCATGTCTCGCCTCCTGTCCAAATCCATGTCTCGCCTCCTGTCCAAATCCATGTCTCGCCTCCTGTCCAAATCCATGTCTCGCCTCCTGTCCAAATCCATGTCTCGCCTCCTGTCCAAATCCATGTCTCGCCTCCTGCCCAAATCCATGTCTCGCCTCCTGCCCCTCCTCGTCCGATGCGTTCCCCTTTGCCCCCTCCCCTCACCTCCCCTCTCCCAGTGTGGAGGTGTTCCGTGAGCCGCCAGGAGAGGAGGTGTTGGAGGCGTTCACGGACGCTGATGAGGACAATGAGGGCGACGGCGCCCCACGCGGGCTGCACGGGCGGCTGCAGATCCGAACGCGCTGCCTGTGGGTGGACCGCGGCAAGCTCACGGACATGATGCACAGCGCTGGCATGGCGGCTCTCAACCGCCTCTCCAGGTGATCTCTTGCGGGCACTGCTCCTTTCACTCGCTCCTTTCACTGTCAACCAGCATAATCTCATCCCTCTCTAAGCATTACTCTCTATCCTTAGCCTCTCAACCTTCTTTTTTTCCTGAACCCCCACTTCTTTTCCTCCTGCAATCGTAATCAACCCTTCATTTTACCTCCCTCCCTCCTCCCCCGTCTCTCCTTTGCATGGCGCAGGGATGCATCCCTGGCGCTGGTGGAGCGCAGCATCTCTCAGGTGCTGCGCAAGACGGTGCAGCGCCACAGCAGCCGCCGCCCCGAGGTCATCGTCACCGCCGTCGACAGCTTCCAGCCGCCCGTGCCGCCGCCGCCCTCGCCCGCCCCTCCCTCCACCCTCTCCGCCGACCTCTCCTCGTTCTCCCCGCGCATCGCCAAGGTTGGTGCGGTGGCAGAGGAGCAGCAGCCGGGTGGGCAGGAGCAGCGGAGGCGGCAGAGGCGCGAGCAGCAGGAGAGGGAGCTGCGGGAGATGCTGGCGAGAGACGAGAAGGACGACGACGCCTTCGGCCCCACCCTGCAGGGGACGGCGGGCGGACGGGGTGTGCGGAAGGTCGGGAGGCGAGGGCGGGTGGGAGGCGAGAGCACGGAGAGTGAGTTGAGTGACGGCGGGTACAGCAGTAGCAGCAGCGATGATGAGCGTGACAGGCCCAGTACTGATGCTGCCAGTGTGCCTGCCGCCGCTGCTGCTGCTGCTGCTGCTTCAGGCAGCGATGGCAGTGGGTCGCCCGGGGGGTGGAGGGACATGGGCTCTGGCAGTGTGACGGGGGTGGCGGTGAGCAGCGGAGAGGAGGGGCAGCAGAGGGGGGATGTGGCGGCAGGGCAGGGCAAGTCCAGCAAGACGCGGAGAGGCAGGCGTCGCTCGGCTGCCAGTGGCAGCACAGGTAGTGCAGAAGAGGGAGAGGGGAAGGCAGGTGGTGCTAGTGTGGAGGGAGCGGTTGAAACGGGAGCTGGTGGGGCAGCGGGAGCAGCGAGTGGCGGGGAGCAGAACCACAAGGGTCTCAGCGCGAGGGTAGAGGCCGAGGGAGACCGGGAGGGGGAGGCAGGCAGAAATGTGGAGACGATGGGCAGTGGTGGAGAGGCCGGCATGGATGGCCGTGTGGAGAGCTGTTCGGGGGACACACGAGAGGACGTGGGAGATGCGGCCCCGTTAGGGTCATCCCACTAGCAGCAGGTGTAGGTAGCGGTCTGATCACTCATTCCTGCATTCGTGCCTTCACTCTGTGGAAGGGCTGATTTTATCTTAGATATCTGATTATCTTAACCATGAAGTCCCATTTTTCAGAGTTTCACTTTTGCCAACACTGATCCATTTAATGTGCACTAATCTTGGTCCTTATTGGGCATAAATTGGTGTGATTCGAACGGGCCCTCCGTACGAATCACCCTGCGGCAAAAAAAGTGGGGGGGTGGTCAAATTAATGGAACAGATGTGTATACCCGGGGCTGATTCAAAATTGGTTCACAAGAGAGTTTCAATTTTTATTTCTTCATGGTGTCCAAGTGCGGATTTACCTTGGACTTGACAAACTATATACCGTATTCTCCCGGATATAAGACCCGGGGGACTTTCCTAAAATAGAGGCAAATTGGTTAGGGTGAACATTTAATCGGAACGAGTTGTATAAGACCCGGGTACACTTATTAATCAAGTACAGTTATGCGATTTAGGGTGTACCATTCGTTTTTTTGGGGGGGGGGGACTTTTATTTTGCACGTCCAAATCCACCGCTTCCAGCACTCCGAGCCTCATATCGCGTGTGACACGCGTCGTCCAACTAGGCACGACGGCGGAAATCACACCATTCGAGGCGAACCGCACTGCATCTTGAGTGTGCGGTTTCCTCAGGTGCCCACATCCAGAACCCCCCCCCCCCTTCTTTGCATCACGTCTGTTCCTTTAGCGACAGAGCGAGGGACAGGCTCTGGACGTGGTGCAGAACGGATCCCTCACAACTCCAGCAGGCAGCCGAGCTTGTCACATCGTACCCCAGCGCTGTGTCTATTGCTTCTGATTCACTTCGTTAGCTCAGCCGCACTACAAAGAACGGCTCATGGCGCTAGTAGGTCGTCATGCGCCCCAAGTACGATACGGTAGTTTAGCAATAGAGTTCCACCATGTCGGCTTTCGAAAGTCCTTGGCGTACGCGCCGTGCCTCGATGACTTCATCGCGGCCGGCCATCGTTGTGATTACTAGCCCGCATCCGCCAGCACCACCTGCGCCTCCCGCACCTCCTGCCCCGCCTGCTCCACCGGCGCCGCCTGCGCCACCCGTGTTTCCCCCGGGTTTCGTTTCCTACCAGGACCGGCCTCTCTTCGAGCCCCCGGACGAGGAGGGCTTTCCCGCGCCAGAAGACGTCAGCGAAAACCGCGATGAGACCGACGAGGCGGCCTACGGTGTTGGCGACTTCCCCATCCCCACCTTTCCCGAAGACCTCGTCCACGATGAAGGTGGTTCCGAGGCAACGAAGGACGCCACGCCTGCAAGTCCGCGTTCTCGCAAAAGTACGCACCGTCGCACGGCGCGCACCATGGGTGAGAAGTGGCAGTGGCTTCTGCGGATGAAAGACGAGAATCTGTCAATTCGTCACACGGCCCGTCTTGCAGGGGTTCAGCCAATCAGCGTCCGCCGTTGGCTGAGGATCGCGCAGGAGATCGAAAAGGCTGCACCGTGCAGGCGTCGGCTAAAGGGTGGTGGTCGACGGGCGAAATACCCCGACATGGAGCAGGCCGTGTACAAGAAGCTCCTGAACTTCCGCGGCAGGGGGTTAGCGGTCCCGATCAAGCTCATCAGGCAGTGGAGCAGGACGTTCATGAAGCACCACCACCCGGACGTCGCTTGGATGGCCTCCGCGCGCTGGACGTTTCGCTTCCGTGCACGGTGGGGCCTCGCCATCCGTGTGAAGACGAAGATCGGGCAGCGCCTCGCGAAGGGTATGTATAATTTGCTTCGCGACTCATTGACCCTCCGTGTTAGTGTATAAGCCGCCTCCCGCTGTTTACCTGGGTGAGTCACTTCGTTTACCGGTTTTTTTTTTCGTTTACAGATTGCAAGCCCAAATGCGAGTCTTTCTGGGAGTTCGTACGGCAGAACGTCATCAAGTGGAGCATCGACACGTGGAACGTCATAAACGCGGACCAGACCCCTGTGTTCTTGGAGATGCCGTGCGACCGGACTCTTCACCACCGCGGTGAGAAGTCTGTGCACGTTCGCAGCGCGGGGTACGAGAAGCAACGGGTGACCGTGATGCTGGGCGTCACGGCGGACGGACGCAAGCTCCCAGCGATGGTCATTTTCAAGCGCAAGACCATCCCTAAGATCCGCGTGCCGCCAGGTAATTTTCGTATTGGCCCTGAAGCCGCGGTGGGTGATACCTCAGTACGCTTAACAATCTCCCCGTGCACTTGCGTGTTTCTCGTATGCAGGTGTCATCATCCGCGCTCATGAGAAGGGGTGGATGGACGGCAAACTCGTCGACGACTGGGTTAACAACGTCCTTCTCCCCTTCATCAAGCCGCCTCGTGGCATCCGTCGGTCCAAGACCCTCCTGGTGTTGGACTCCTACCGTGGACACATCACGGACGGCGTTCTTGCGAAGCTCAGGTGGCACCGTGTGATCCCCGCCATCATCCCGGGGGGGTGCACGCCCCTACTGCAGCCCCTTGACGTGAGCATCAACCGCTCCTTTAAGGCGGGACTGCGCACGTTCTACAACGACTGGTTCGCCGATGAAGGGGTGAACAGCTTCACCCCCGCAGGTGCGTGTACCTTAAGGGTTCTAAACCGTAACAAAAGTGAGAGCACATGTTGACACAATAAACACACTCACTCGAATCTGTGTGCGTTGGTCGACCTTACAGGGAACCTGAAGAGGCCCCCCGCTGAGACGGTGCTGAAGTGGATCGCCCAGTCATGGAGCGACGTGCCGGAGCACATCATCGTCAAGGCGTTCCTGACCACTGGCATCAGCAACGCCGTTGACGGCAGCCAGGATCACCTCGTCCTGGCGCACATGCGGGATGCTGGCCAGGTCGAGGTGGGAGAGGACGTCCACTCCTCCCCCTTGGTGGATGAGTGGGTCAACCCCCTCTACACCACGACTGCTGACGACGAGGAAGCTGCCCGGGAGGCGGACGACGAGGACTGTGGGGACATGCCCGCGGAGGAGGAGGAGGCGGAGGAGGAGGAGGAGGAGGAGGAGGAGGAGGAGGAGGAGGAGGAGGAGGAGGAGGAGGAGGAGGAGGCCGAGATGGAGGCGGAGGAGGAGGAGGAGGAGATCGAGGGGGAGGCAGAGTGGGGAGACGTGGAGGAGGACGATGTGGAGTAGGGAATAGGGGGGTGCAAGAGAAAGGTTAGCTAAGCCGGACCGTAGATGTGTATGACTGTGTTGCTTGATGTACCGTAGTATTGACTCGTTCCATGCCTTCACATCATGTCTAGTGTGGATCCAAGTGCAGTATTCTAAACTGTTGGGCAATGGTTTCTTTAACAGAATCCCCTCCCCTAGGGGAAGGGGGGGGGGTCTTATACTGATTATAGGCTTAGGGGGGGTCCTCTCACATATGCTACATATTAAGAGTCCCAGTACCGTTCAAAAGTCCCGGGGGTCTTTTTTTCGGGAGGGTCCTATATCCGGGAGAATACGGTATATATACATATATATATATCTTGTGTTGTAGGCTGTAATGAGGTACACTGTTGAGGGTATGACACTCTTAAGGTTTGTACTTGTATCCCAACCCTTTGCTAATCCAACCATTCCGCTGTCTCTGAAGCTGAAGCTGAGATGGTATCACGAGTAGGAATACGATCCTAGCCGCCCCTTAGTAGGAATCGCCCCGCCCCATCCCTTAGCTGGTTGCGCCCCGCCCCTTAGCAAGCCGAGCCCCGCCCGATAGCAGACCGCGACCCACTCGACAGCAGGCCATGCCCCGCCCGTCCCGTCAGCCCCGTCTTGTGCCACGCGCTGCCCTGCCCCACGCACTCCCGTCCCGTACCCGTCCTGCGCGCTGCTCTACCCGCGCGCGCTCCTGTCCCATACCCGCTCCCGTCTCGTACTCGCTGCCGTGTGCGCGCCCGTACGCAAAGCAGAATGCGCAGCAGCAGTACACACAGACGCGCGCGCAGCAGCAGCCACGAACGCACGCGTAGCTGCACGCACACTCACGGCTACCGCTCGCGCGCGCAGCAGCAGACGCACGTACAACTTCAGTAGCCGTCACACGCTGCCTCTGCTGCAGCACGCTCATCTTCAGCAGCAGTCGCACGCGCTACTTCAGCGCCCACAGCAGCTGCGCACAGGCAGTGCGCGCGCACAGCAGCTGCACGCACGCAGCCGCGCCTTAGCTGTTGCACGCGCACCAACAGAGGTGCGCGCCCCAAGAGCCACACGAGCAACGGCAGCCGCAAGCACAGCTACAGCCGTCCATACTACAGCTGCCGCCGTTCACGCATCGCTTAGCAGCACGCACAGCAGCAGCCACACATGCAGCAACAGCCGCACGTGTGCAGCACCTTCCCCGCCCGTAGCTGCAAGTCCCACGCGCCTGCCCCCTTCCGACCCATACATTCGTACCTACAGACTCTTCCAAACCTCCTGCCATAGACATTCCTCGCAGCGGCTGGCAGCTGCAGTTGACTCTCTTGACCGCGACTTCGGTTTTCGCCTCTAGTTCTCCCTAGTGTTCCTCAGCACCTCCTGGCACCGTTCGTTACTACCTTCACCGGTTTCTAGACTAGCCCTTAGGCCTCGTTCCGTTACTCGTTTCAATCTCTCGTGGCCTAGCCACTCTAGCTTAGCTCCTGCCGTTCCAAGCCTTGCACGACTAGACTGCTAGCCCTCTCGTTATGGCTCGACTCGAGTTCTGCGATTTGATGCAGAGGGTACAGCCCTAGACTTCCCCTCTTGGCTCCTCCGTGTTGAGCAGTCCTCTAGAGTCAGTGCCAGGATAATGATACCCTCTGGGCACACGCCTCTGGTGACCTGCCTGAGCCTCTGCCCCCTGTTGCCCTGCCTGACGAGCCTATTGGCACCGACCGAGAGTGCTTTGACAGGGTCCGTACACCATTGTCGGTGTGGCGGTCTCGTGACGCAGCGGCTTGCATTGTACTTGGTAGCCTTCTCCTTGAGTCTAAGGAGGCTCAATTCACCCAGGTTTGATCTGCCAATGACTTTTTGGTTGCGATTAAGACCCGTTATTCTACTCCCTCCTCCGCCTCTCTTGGTCACCTCTTTTTGCCGTTTCTGTTTCCCGACCTAGGAGCGTTTGATCCCATTGCTGACCTTATCACCCACCTGCGCTCGCTCGAATTCAGCTACCGTGCTGTTTGTACTGAGGCTGAGCTAGCACTCCTCCCCCAGCCCGTGGCGATCACTATTCACTTCATCGCCACTAGCCTCCCTGGCTGCCTTGCACCAGTCTCTGACGCCCTGCTTCGGAAGCACCCTATAGCGTAGTGCGCTCACTATCGACATCCTTGAGGTAGCTCTCAAGGACGTCGAGAGCAACATCCGCTCTATGGCATTCGCTTCTGGCGCCGTAGTTCCCTGCTCTTTCAGGGGTGTACTATCCCACAGCTCCCCACCTCCACTGCTTCTCTTGCCTTGACTATGCCCCAGCAGTAAGGTCCTAGTGGACCAGGGAGTGATGGTCGTGGCAGTGGTCCACCCAGCTGGGCGCCGCGTGGTCCCTCCCTCCCCGTACGTTGCTCAGACGGCGCTCACCAGGGTAAGCGACGTGGCCGTTTTCACGTTTCGGGCCAGTGCTTTGCGCAGCTCACGGACCGCGTCCGCGCCCAGTACGGCTACGACCCCGCTCCCGACTGGGCAGCACTTGCTCACTCTCGTGGTCTTGCTTTGTGGGATATGTCTGCGGTAGAGTTGGTTGATGCCATGGCATCAACCAACTGTTGTGCGAGGAGCCCTGTCTGGTTGGGAAGGCGAAGCACATCCAGCTTCGTTACTTCCTTCTGCGCGAGTTGCAGCAGCGTAACCAGGCACTCGTGAGATGTGTGGTCTGTGAGGCCAACACTGCAGATATCTTCATCAAGGCGTTGCTGCCTTGGGACCACCAGTGCTTTTGCACCCAGCTGGGCCTAGTGCTTGCCCGTCCTCACTTGCTAACCTAGAGGTGCTTTTCTTGCTTGTCTTGTAATCTTGCATCTCCTATATTTGCTATAACCTTGCATGTGGAGTGGCCTTGTGACCTCTTGCTTGTTCTCGGAATGTGTGGTGATATTGAGATCCACCCTGAGATTTGTTTTGTGCTTGTGAAATGGTCTTGTGACCGTTGCTTGTTCTTGCTAACTGGTCCTGTGACCCTTGCTCTCTGACTGTGCGGTGACTTTGTGATCCACCCTGAGATTTGTGTTGCCTTCCACACGACTACTATTACCTAGACTATGGGGGTGTGTCAAACTGTATTTTATATAGTTTATTTAGTTGTTGTCTAGGTGTTCCTGCTTTTCTCTAGGTTAGGTTTATATTCCATTATACTGTCACATTCTAGTCATTCTCATATCTTAACAAAACATTCAGCCTTGTTTTTAACGACGATGAAAAAACAGTTTTTTTACGTAGGAAGGTTGTGAGTCAGCCCTTTTTTTACATGTAAAGGCTGTGGATTAGGGCCTCATGTTCACTATTAGGGACTCTGATGCATTAGGATCCCTATGAAAAAGAAGGCTGATTGACAGCCTTCCAAAAAAAACATGAAATCCCAATGTTCCTTCAAAAAAAGAGCCTGATTGTTCAGTGTTCACATACAAAAAAATGTTGATTTGTCTGAACTCACGAAAATGTTATGCCAAAATCACATACAACATTGTGAGAAGGATTGACAAAAGAATGAATGAACTAGAAATGAGATGGGTACAAATAGAAAACACATAAGTGTTGTACCCTCTAAGAGCTACCCCACTACAGCCTAAATAGACCATAGCAGATATAAGTTTGACACACCCCCATAGGCAAAGTGGGGGAGAGCAAGAGGTCACAAGACCAGTCAAGAAAAGCAAAGCAAGCTCAGGGTGGATCACAAAGTCACCACACAGTCTGAGCACAAGCAAAGGGCCATAAGGCCAGTTCACATGCAGAGTTATATAAAGGAAAGCAAACAGTACAGTGAACACAACCTAGCAAGTGTAAGCATGCAGGTATATGTATATAGAGTACAGTACAAGCAGAGTCAAGAAGTCAACAAGTGAGGCACAGTAGGGACAAGGCCTAACACAGTACAGAAACGCTGATGATCACAAGGCTGAAGTGCCTTGGTGAAAACATCTGCAGTGTTGGCCTGAGAGGCCACGTACGTAAGACGAAGCTGGCCACGCTGCTGCAACTCTCGAGCAAGGAAGTAGCGCAGAGCAATGTGCTTCGTTCTGTGCTCCAGTCTGTGCTCTTGACACAAGGCCAGCATGGCCTTGTTGTCGACGTACAGAACTGGAGGAGAACGAGGCGCCTCTCCCAAGTCGGTCAGCAGGTAGGTGAGCCACCGAAGCTCCTGTGCAGCCATGGCTCCAGCGTAGATCTCAGCCTCACAACTGGAGCTGAGAACAGAAGAAGAGCGGGTAGACCGCCAGGAGACAGAACCGGAGCCAAGGCTGAAGGTGTAACCCTGTGACGACCGCTGCATAGCCAAGTCGTCAACCCAGGAGGCGTCAGCGTGACCAGTGAGGACAACTCGAGCCCGTCCTCCAAGCACGAGCCCCATGCCCGATGTACTGCACAAGTATCGCAACACCCTCTTCGCAGCATCCCAGTGCACCTTTCGGTGCCTGCCGGGAGCCACGTAACGAGCCAGAAGGCTGAGAGGGTATGCGAGGTCAGGTCGTGTGCAAGTCATCAGGTACATGAGGCAGCCCACAAGCTCTGGATACGGGCCACTCGGCTCTACGGACTCGTCCGAAGGTGGAGCTGAGAGCGAGTGACCGGTAGGCAGAGGAGTGGACTGTGGCGAGGAGTAGGTGAAGCCGAAGCGCTGAAGGACCTGCTGCACCATGTGTGACTGAGTCAAGGTAATGGTGCGCTGTGCTCTGTCCCGGGTGATCCGCAAGCCAAGATAGCTTGTGAGCTCACCCAGGTCTGTGCACGTGTGTCTCTTCTGCAGCTCGGACTTCACGTGGGCGAGTGCCTCCGTGTCAGCAGTAGCAAAGACAAGGTCGTCTACGTACACAAGAACGTAGAACGGCGGGAGAGTAGCGTCAGTGCGTAGAAACAGAGAAGGGTCAGCAGTGGAAGGAGCAAAACCAAGAGCAGCAAGAGTCGTCCTGAGCGTGGCGTGCCACTCACGGGGCGCCTGGCAGAGACCGTAGACTGGCCGCCGGAGG